ACACAAGGACAAAATGAGGAGGTTGATATTTTTCTTGAATATAATGTAACGTCATTGATTAGAAGCACTCTTCCAAATTTAGTTTGTTCAAACAACGTAACACTGCATCAAACTCATCAAAGATTGTGACCGCTAGTGTTAGGACTTTTCATTAATTAAACAGTACTTGTTTAATTATAGATTATAGATTGTGAATCGTGTGGACATCACACATTTTGTTCATTCTTTTCAATCTTGTAGTATTATATATAGTTGGTACCTGGCATGTAAGGCGATAAAGATAAAGTTTTTCCTACATTTTTTGTATTCCGTATTATTAAAAACACAGCATGTGTTTGTTTTGTTCAAGTTGATCTTGGACTGGATCCAACTCTGGACTGCATCGAAGTCAGGTTTATTTAAAAATAAAGTTTAATCTGTCTCCTATATACAATATAAAAATTTTTAATAATTGGACTCTTCATAAATCATATATAATACAATCACTTATCAAACCCCATACAAAACTAAGTTTCAGGACATCATCTCAGTTTCAAGTCTCCTTGCTTTTTTTTTTTTTTATTTTTTAGCAAAGTCAACTTACTACTATATTTTTTTTTTCTATTTATGCGTGTTGTTCTTGCGTAGAGACCGTGTTAATCTTATTACACGCATTTGTACGCAATTGTCCCCATGTAATTGATGGTCAACGCCTCTGTGCGTGTCTGCGTGTGAGAGAGAGAGGGGGGGGGGGATGTCTCATAAATAATTATAAAATTTAATTAATGTTGCTGACATCAATTATTGGGTCATAGTGTGTATCGAATCACCATCCACTGCAAAATGTAGCTAAAAAACTCTGAATCCAAGAGTACCATGTCTCCTTTTTTTTTTTAAGAAAAATGATAATTAAGGATTTTTCAATAATATTAATTTTAATTAAAAATTATAATATTTTAAAATTTTAGTTAAAAATTATGGTCCTTAATTAAGATAAAAAATATAATTTATGAGGTATGATTCACTAGTATTACTTGAAAATTTACTAATTTCAAATTAAATTTTTTTTAACATATATTGTAAAAACATGAAATCTCACTTAATAATTGATTGTTTAACAAAAATCTGTCTTGAGAATTCATTAGCTTGATTTAAAAAAATTTCTAATATATATTATAAAAATATAAAACTCCACTTGATAATTAATTGTTTAACAAAAAATGTTACTTGAGAATTCACTAACTAGATTTAAAATTTTTTTAACATATATTGTGAAAAAAAAACCTCATGTGAAAATCAATTTTTTAACAAAAAGTAACTTGCCTAAATTAAGATTTTTTGTTAAACAATCGATTATCAAGTAGAGTTTTATGTTTTTACAATATACGTTAGAAAATTTTTCAAATCGAGTTAGTGAATTTCTAAATAATGCTTTTTATTAATCAATCAATTTTTAAGTGAGGTTTTATATTTTTACAATATATGTTAACAATTTTTTTAAGTTGAATTGGTGAATCTTCAAGTGGTGTTAGTGAATTTCACCTTACAAATTATATTTTTTATCCCTAATTGAGATTTCAAAATATTATGATCCTTAATTAAAATTAATGCTTTTAGAGAATCTTTAATTATTATTTTTCTTTCTTTTTAAATTGTTGATAGGACTCAAAGACTTTCCAGTTTTCATTTCATTTTTTATTTTATTTGGATTCATAACCATAAGACTGTCCCTGTGTTCTGTGCTTTTTGAGAAGCATTCATATATGATTTTATTCCCTTCTTTAAAAACATGTAAGGTGTTTTTAATTAAATTTTATTTTCAATAAAATAATTAATTATTTTTTAATTAATATTATCTTTTTATATTTACTCTTATTTAATAAAATATTTTATTTTAAAATAAATATAAAATAATTTATTTATTATTAGTAATTTTAAGAAAAGCATAGTAATTATTTTTCAAAATACTAAAAATATCCTTTATTTTTTAATATCCAATTTCTATGCCTCATATTTATTAATGGAGAGAGTATTTTTTTTCTTTTAAATTAGATGGTCACGGTTAAAAACAAGTGCGAGGGAACAATCTTTGTCAATTCACTTTTCTTGTGTCGGAGCTCCCCTTTTTTTTTTTCACATTCCATAAAATTCGTTCCTGCAAGGAGAGAAAATAATAAGTTTAGTTTAAAAGATTCAACTAACTTATCCCAAGCATGCGTGGCTTTGGTGCAATTTCGGAGAATATAAAAAGAGGAGCAATGGAAATTACAACGACAATCTGTTTAACAAATGCCAATTCCTTCAACATTGACAAACCTAGTTTGGAGATGGTTACAAGCAATTTTCTAAACATTCAATTTGGCCTGTCTGAATTGAGTGGAGCCAACAACATAATTTATAATCCCGGCTGTCTAAAATATTACATGACGGGTTCAGATTTTTATGTTTTACATTTAGAATCTTAAAAATTAATCATTTGATTTGAATATTTTTTACTTAATTAAAATTCAGTGCCTGAATTTTGATTTGTTATAAACTTAATATTTATAATTTTAATTTAGTTACAACTTAGTACAACTTAGTTTCTATAGGCTATAGTTAAAGTTTAAGGATCGAGTTGTAACTAAATTAATAAACTATATAAATTAAGTGACATTAAATTAAATGTTAGGAACTGAGTTATAATTAAGTTAAAATTATAAAAATTAAATAATTAAATTTTTTAATTTTTTATAGGTTAATAAATATAAAATTAATACAAAAAAATAATACAATTTTATGCTATACATCAAGCCTAATTAAAAAAGTTGAAAAATTTCAACCGTCCATGAGGCAAGTGCCTTCCCTGGTGCACATCTCTTAGGGGACATGTCCCATCCACTTTCCCATTAACTTGTATTAGGAAACAGCCACCTATATTTGTTAATTTATTATACTCAAATTTAATTAATTTGAAAGTAAATTAGAATGTAGTAGGGGATCTGAGAGCATGAACATGAACGTGATTGGTCCATGTAAATTGTATCCAATCCAATCGAAATCTTACATTAAAATAATGGCATCCTGTGAAACCGGCATGTGCACTCACACCGTCTATTAAATAATGATATACTACCAAACTCAACTTTCTTTCCCTCCTTTCTTCCATAGTATTTTCTCGGCCACTTCCCCGTAATCTTTTTCGAGAAAAGTTCATTCAGGACCCTCATATTAGACTTAATAAAAAAGAAGACGTCAAAAATATTAATTCATCACAACCTGACAGGAACATTGATTTGAGATCAAATTTTATAGTTAAATAATAATATTACCCCTTATTAAAAAAAAAAACAAACATGGATCAAGAGAATCGATGATGCATTGAAGATGATAGACACTTCTGTTGCTAGAGATAAATCTGTCTAAAACATGAACTTGGACATCTGAAGATCAGCGAGACCTCTATCGACTTTCATGACTTAAACTAAAAGATTAATTGTTATATATAATTAATTACAAGTGAGAATTATTCATTGTGATTACAAATCTTAAAATATAAAAAAATACAAATAGAGATTCAAATCTCTTTAGGATTTGAACTAGGGCATCTAAAGATTAGCGATACCTCTATTGTTGGAGTTCCTGTACAAGAATCATTTGATGGAAGAAGAACTGCGAGTAATGTGCAAAAAAATGGACAAAAAAAACATACATGTCATATCGGTATGTCTCTAATTTCATGTTTGAATAACTTATTTAATACCTTAGTGCGTGTGGTTAATTACTTTACAACAATTATTAATTCTCTTACCACACTTGTTTGTTACAACATGAAAGAATTCTAAGTAAAACATACCGGCAAGTCTATGATATATCGGTATGTCTATTATATACTAGTATGTCTCTAATATATCAATATGTGTTTGAAAAAATTTCAAGTAAAACATATCAATAAAACATGCTAATATTAGTATGATTTCATATTTAAATGACTTGTTTATCGCTTTAGTGTGTGTGGTTAATTACCTTACAACAATTGTTAATTTTTTTACTACACTTATTTGTTACAACATGAATTTCAGGTAAAACATACCGGTATGTCTATGATATACCAGAATGTCTTTGATATATCGGTACGTATTTGAAAGAATTTCAAATAAAACATACCTATGGAACATGATTATAATAGTAGGATTTCATGTTTGAATGAATTGTTCGTCGCCTTGGTGTGTATATTTAATCACCTTATGATAGTTGTTAGTTTTCTTATTACATTTATTTGTTATAATATTGACTGCTTTTCAAGTGTTGGTTTAATGTTCAATTGAAGGAAGAATAATGCCGACTAAATGAAGCTACCAAGTTAGAGGTAGCGCCTAACTGGCTGGTGACTTGATCAAGAGAGATTCTTGGGTAGGAATTCCAATGATAAAGGTGTTACTTATCTTCAAACTTGAGATTTTGAGAAGCTTAAGTATGTTGTTTGTGTTTATCGAAGACGCGTGCAATGATGGGTGAGATGAGAATTTCCCTAAGTGAAATTTTCCTACTCATTCAAGGGAAATTCTATTGGTTTAGGCTTGAAATAGAGGTATTGTTGATCTTTTACGTGTTTATAAGACATGTGCGTCATGGTTGAGCTAATGAAACTTTTTTTTTTATTCTTACACTCAGGTGCAATTTTGTCATTTTATTATAAAATTTAATCTCAAATTAGTGCCCTCATGCTGTAATGATATGTCAATATTCTTGGTGTTTTCTTTTTTATTTAGTAAGATTAGAGGGTCTTGAGTGAAATTTTCCCATTTTTTTCTTTAATTACTATTTTTTAATTTTATGTAAAATGTGGAAGAGGAGCGAATCAGATGCGGGCTGCACCACGTGAAAACAGGATTTAAAAAAAAAAAAAAAAGCAAAACATCGTAACTTTTTTTGGCCCCCTCCTCTCGAACACGCGGCACTGACCTGTCGTAAAGATTATATGTACTAACGCTATATTAACTCATGATTCGTATGGTTAAGACAGAAAAGCAAAGATTTTAGCTCAGTGTGAAGAAAGTTCTTTTCTTTTCCGATAATGTCACTCCCTCCCAACGATTCTGCTTTCAGGGTTCTTTCTTTTTATCTCATTATAAGGTTCCTTTATTCTAAGGAGCGCATATTTTTGTTGCGCCTCTTCTTTCTGACTCTGTTTTTCCTCTGTTTTCTGAATCCCTTCGAGAAAAATCAGTAAGAAGAGGAGGAGGAGGACGACGACGAAGAAGAAGGGATTGTTGACAACATGAAGGCCTATTTCAAGTACAGTTGGCTCTTGTTCTTCACCAGAAAGTACAAGAGCAACGATCTGGTTCCACCTCGGGACCTCAAGGAGGTCTTTTCCGACTTTGCTGGCGGTGGGTCCCGCATGTCCGTCGAACAGTTCCGGCGTTTCCTGGTAGAGCACCAAGGCCACGTGGACTGCACCGTGGCGGAATCGGAGGTTATCGTGGAGAAGGTCCTGAAAGCACGAGAGGGGAATCGCGAAGCTACTCCTAATGATGACGATGATCAGCGGCATACTGAACAACATGGACTCGCTCTCGATGACGTCTTCCATTTTCTGCTTCTTGATGATTTCAACGGTCCTTTGAATTCTGAGGTCATCTCTCTCTCCCCCCCTGTCTGTTTGGCTGCCTAGAAAATCCCATGAAGAAACTTTCTCTGCAGATGTGCTGACCAAGAAGTGATGTTCGCTATTTCAGGTTCATCATGACATGGAAGCTCCGTTGTCACACTATTTCATATATACAGGGCACAATTCGTATCTTACTGGGAATCAATTGAGCAGTGATTGTAGTGAAGAACCGATCATAAAGGCTCTGCAACGAGGCGTGAGGGTCATCGAACTAGATTTATGGCCTACTTCCAATAAAGATGATATCAAAGTAGATCATGGATGGTATATTATTGAGTTCATTGGCCAATGGGAAAAAAATGTTCTTAGTTTGAAATATTTTAAGCTGAAAGTTGTTTAATTGATTTGTTTTGTTTGATCCTTGGAATCAATGTAGGACTCTTACCAATCCTGTTTCACCCCATAAATGTCTGGAGGCCATAAAGAAACATGCTTTTGTTAAATCTGAGTACCCAGTGATTATAACTATAGAAGACCACCTTACAAGAGATCTTCAAGCTAAATTTGCAGAGGTAACCCGGATGGATATAAATCTAATCAAATTACAAAAATGTCATTTTGTTTTGCTTTTGGTTTTAATTATTTTATTTCATTTTGGTTGTAGATGGTAACTCAAATACTTGGAGAATCGCTATATTATCCTCAGGCAGAACGTTTGACAGAATTCCCATCACCAAAATCATTGAGAAATAAAATAATTATATCCACCAAACCTCCAAAAGAACATCGTCATAAAAGTATTGAAGATAGAGGCGACAACTATGTGCAGGATGCAAGTGAATCGTCTGAAGAAGAAACATCATGGGGTCAGGAGTCAACTGACTTTATGGCTGAACCAGAGACTGAAGACAAGGTGAGCCAGATCAGATGGACATTCATAGACATGCAGAATTATGTATAAGTATAATGTGCTTATGTTGCCTCTTGTATGGATGGTCGCAGAATGGAAGTGACAAAGAAGAGGGAGATTCAAATGCAAGTGATCATCATAGGTCAGATCAACAGGATTCACCTGACTACAAACGCTTAATCACAATCTATGCAAAGAAACTCAAGGGCAGCTTAAAGGATAAATTGAAGATTGATAAGGAAGTTAGACGCCTAAGTTGGAATGAGCAGACACTTGAAAGGGCTTCTGAATCTCATGGAACTGATATTATAAGGTATTTTTCTAATCAATATTGGCAGCAGATATGGCCTGCACTTTCATGATCAACAATTCAGAACTCATTTCCCCCCACTTGTCTGATAGAAGACTGTGCTTCTTCCAGGTTCACACGGAAAAATATCCTCAGGGTATACCCAAGAGGGACGCGTGTCCAATCCTCAAATTTCAAGCCACATATTGGGTGGATGTATGGGGCTCAAATGGTGGCATTTAATATGCAGGTTAGAAAGTTGTAACCAGGATAGCGTATATTTCTTATAGCTGTTTTCTGCTGTGGAGAAATCTCATATGCATGGTGAAATGCTGCTTGTTTGATTGTGATTTATGATGCTTTCATCTATAATTGTTAAGGCATCTCTTTAAGCTTAAGCTACTCCGCTAGAAAGTCAATATTCAAATGAAATATTTTAAGCGGTAAAAGCAATACTAACATGTCAGCATCTATCTTCCTTAGCAGAAGCATGGCAAGAAGCTCTGGCTAATGCAGGGAATGTTCAGGGCAAATGGAGGGTGTGGTTATGTGAAAAAACCTGAAATAGTGATGCAAAATCTTCCAAATGGAGAACTGTTTGATCCTAAAAGGACATTGCGAGTGAAAAAGACATTAAAGGTAATCACATCTCTCTATACAGCTTAAGGTAAATTCATGTTTCATGGGTAAACTGAGAATGTTATCATATGCTGTAATAGGTAAAAGTGTACATGGGACATGGCTGGAGCTCAGATTTCAGTCCCACCCACTTTGATAAGTTCTCTCCACCAGATTTCTACACAAAGGTACGTAAAATAATCACCCATTATTAATTTCCTAGATTCTGAACACTATCTCCATATGATTGAGATTACACAACTAACATTTTTCTTCATCTGGCAGATCTGTATTGTTGGGGTGCCAGCTGATTGTGCCAAGAAGAAAACAGGGGTAATAATGGACAACTGGTTTCCTGTTTGGGAAGAGGAATTTGAATTCCCTCTTACTGTTCCAGAGCTTGCATTGCTTCGGATAATAGTGAGGGAGAAAGACCAGGGAAAGGATGACTTTGGTGGGCAGACATGTTTGCCGGTCTCAGAGCTGAGAGTGGGATTTCGTTCAGTCCCTTTGTATAACGAAAAGGGAGAGAAATATAAATCTGTAAAGCTTTTCGTGCGGTTTCAGTTCATTGACCAAGAAAATGCATTTTCAGTAGAATGAATTTATAGATGATAGTACGCATTGAGTTCATGATTCAAGTGTGATTAGAATTTGGCTTCATTTTAGCAGCTTCTGTAAAGAAGAATTGCATACAGCTTTTCCTTTAACTTTCAACTGATTCCCTCTGAAGGGTCCTCAAGTTATGAGAAATTACCTGATGATTTTGACGGGTATGAAAATTTGAGCCGTTGTTGTTTGGCTCAGCATCTGCCATGTACAAAACATTCTGATAATCTGGATGGAAAAAAGTGAAATATTCGAAATATATGAACGTAAGTGCACGTACTTAAATTCCAGTACAATGGTTGTCGTCCTTTCTTTATACTCATATGCTCTATCTCTAACCCAGGCGGTTTGAGAATGAAACAACCTCAAAAAACCTCACAATAGATTAAAATTGTAATGACCCAACGGGACCAAAGAGATTGAATTCTCTACTCAATCCACCTTGGTGGGTATTTCACATGGACCACAAAAATGGGAAAAATCTGATTCCCACAGAATTTGCTTCCTCCGGCTTCTGGCGCAGGGGCAAGTTCGTCAATAGCAATGGAGCCAAGGGATGAAGAGAATCAGTTTAGAGAGGGAGGGGGGGGGGGGAAACGTGGACAAGACACTGGGCAATATGTAATTGAGAGAATTTTATTGTAATCATAATGATGAGAGAATAAAAGTATGGTCGATTTTTGTTCTCATTTTTTTGAAAAACTATTCTGTTATATAATTTTTAAAATAAAATAAAATGAAAATTTGTTTGGTTATGTTAGTTAAAAAATATACTGATAGTGATAATTATAAATAATTCATGGTGATAATTAATAATAGAAATTGATCAAGGTAATCATAATTTTTAATAATTAAATATAATGTATTTTAAAAAAATTAGAAAAATAAAATGAAAACATCTTAAAGTTGTATCTATTTTTTTGTTTTTAAAAATAAAAAATAAAAATAATTTTAAAAACAACTAAATGAAAAACATTTATTCCAATAAATTTTTAAATTTTTTTGTTTCTAAAACAAAAAAATAATTTTTAAAAACAGAAAATAAATAAGCCTTGTATCTCTCTCAAGTCTCAAAAGACGAACATTGCACCATTGCATTTGCATCATTTGCCAACAGCTATCACATTTTTATTTAGTTATTTTATTTTTACTTACATTCTGCATAGGAAAGAAGATTGTTTGCTTTGATTTGAAGAAAAATAAAAATCATGTATCAGCTTACTTTAAATTTTCTGTGCAGGTAGAGTCCGCCCTGCCAAAAAGGTTAAAAAAAACTTGCTTTAAATTCAAATGTTGGAATAAAATTCCAGAAGCGGGAGTCACGCGAATACGCGTACAAATGCAGAATGTTATCTACTATTTGATTTGTTTACCATAGGTAACAAGCATGCTAGTATTTGATTGTGTTTGGTAGATTCAATATTTGGTCAAACAAAAGAAATCATCCATGCAATATCAATAAAAATGATTGAGATGGTAAAAATTTGATCAACAATTAATTAGCTTATAAGTTTAAATCCTGCTGCTAATATAAATATATTGTTAATGGATGATTTATAAGTACTTCTATAAATATTTTTTGAGCTTGAAAACATACCCACACTTTGGTAAACTCTTGAAATCCAACTTACTTTTGTCTTTAAAAAAAAAAAATCCAAATATTAGACAAGGTGTAAGTCAATGTATATTGCATAAAGTCTGAAAAATAAATAATATAATACTAATACTATTTAAGAATTATAAATGATACAACTTACTTTAGATTTTTATTCTTTTTATTGATGATTTATAACAAGTTGTAGTATTCACAACTCATAAACAGTATAATTCATCTTTTGTTAAATGTGTGATGCACAACAATATCTAGTTTGAAATAAAGGCTGTGTTTTAAAAACAAACATTAACAACTCTCTTTTCCCCATAGAAACGACAACAAAGCATGTTTTAGATTATTATTTAAAAAAACATGTTTTAAATTATATAATGTATCTGAATATCACAATTTATTCGTGATCTTCCAATATTTGCAAAATGTGTAGTTACTTAGAATTTCGAGTACTCCTATTCATAATTTGGTAAACGTTATGATCATTTTTAGAGTAGACATTCATTTTTTTTAAACATGTTAAATTTAGTGAGAGAAGTTAGTCCTAGTAATGAAATAATGTTCTATTAAAAAAAGTGTTCACATCCTTAATGTTCGATTAATCGTATTTTGAACAAAATTGATTTTAATTAATTAGGAAAATGTGCGTAGATAAAACAATAGAAGAATAACTGTGTAAAAAAAAAAAAAGTTAAACATATCCTTCGGACCCACAGAAATCACATCCGCGCCCATTGTTGGCAAAAAGAAACGTTTTCTGCCTTTGGTTGTTTCAACCTTTTTTAATTAAGTAATAAAGTCTCCGATATTTTCAGATATTTATTATTGCATTTATAAATTTTTTTATTTTAAAAATACACAAGCACCTCATGTGCTTTTTCTTCAATTGTCAAGTCTTTCTTATAATTCAAAGTTCAAAAACCTCCTATTTATAAGCATTTTTCTTTGGGGTTTTGCTAATTTTCTATTTCACCATACCATCTTAGACATGAATATATCATATTTCGTCGGAAAAAAAATTCAAAAAATCGCTTTTGCCATCTGTTAAAATCATTATTTTTGTTTTAGAACATATACTTATGTAGGAAAACTACATTTTAATTCTGTGTTGGATGAATGTTCCATCCTTTCAAGTTTTCCCAGAAACCTTATTCTCCGGTATTCGATCTTTCTTTATTTCGTTTGAGAACTCAAATTCAATCTTTTTTCTCGATGTAACTTTTTTTCTTTATCTGGTCTTGAGATGTAATCAAATCCAATTCATTGAGGTGAGGGAGGGGGAGGAGGAGGAGGTTATAGGATATGGGAACCTACAACTACAAAATATTCAAATGCTTCAACCTTAAGTTCACTGTCTCGGAGCCGGGCCCACCCGAGGACGTCAAGTACGTCTTTTACAAGTTTTCCTCCGGCGCCGATCACTTGTCCGCCGATCAGCTAGTCAAATTCCTGGTGAAGCACCAATGCGAATCGGACTCGACCTCTTCAGATTCCACCCAAATAGTTGAGAAGATCCTGCAATTGCGGAAGCAGAATGAGGAGATTGAAGCTACGGAGGCCACGAGCTCTGTTGAGGGAATGAGCCTCGACGAATTCTTCCATTTTCTACTCCTCGATGATTTCAATGCCCCCTTAAAATCCCAAGTAAGCTAATCTTATTCCTCTAGAATGTCTGTGTTTTATTGTTCTTGGACATTTCTTTGGTACGTACATTCCGTTCTCTCTGGTCTTGATGAATTCTTCCCCCTCATGCCAATTCGGTTGCCAAGTTCTCTGGTCTCCACCCCCCCTGCCTGTATTTTACAGTATCAGAAGAAATCAAAGCAAAGGAAAGAAAAGAGGGACCCTTGAAGAGAAGAAACCCAGTAACTTTGATAGGAAAGGTCAATGACAACAAGGGGAGCCCATCCCTGCAAAGGACCCATAAACTTCGAAAATATTAGAGAATTAAGGCGTTAATGAAGGCAAACAGTTTGAGAAATTGACGCTGCACCTGTGAAATATGTACTATAACACTATATAACGATTATAGATTTATAGTCGACTCGTCAAATTAAAGAGCGCATTAGCCAAACGTAAGTTACTTCTTTCAAAAGTTACTTTCACGAGAAAAGTTAAAATTTTTTAATCTTACTAAGATGGAATTTTTAGGTTTCTTAGTTATCCTTTAGACTCAGTTGTTTATGTGTTGTATTTTAAAACTATATGCATGTTTATCATATGGACACAATGACTCGTGTGTAACATACTTGAAAATAAGCGTATGAGTTTTTGAAGGTAGAAAATTCACTGTATGAGCTCATTGATGTACTAAACCTCACGGACTCTAATAACATTGTATTGTAAATTAATTTGTATATAATGATTTTCTTCCGGCATGATGTTCTATTTAATCATTCTAAATAATTCCCATGAACAAAGTGTATTGACTTGGATAAAATTCTTGAATTATAGTGTCAATTTCAGGACTGTGACAATCATTTGTGAACAATCCATAGTTAGATCAAGTTTAACATCAATTCCTTATTAATTTTATATTTGTTGAAGCCTGTTTATAGTATGAAGAAGTGAGCAGGGAAAAAAGATTAAAGAAGGGATTTAGCTGATAATATCAAGCTTATAGCCGTTGGTATCTTTGTGTTTGCATGTGGGTGTTCCCTGCCCTTACTTACGATGGTGAATTATGTATAGACTGCATAATTACTAAATGAAGGTAAAAGAAGTCTCTGCAAGATAATACAAATGGTGCGTTATTTCAGGTGCATCATGATATGAATGCTCCGCTGTCACATTATTTCATATATACAGGACACAATTCTTATCTGACCGGGAATCAACTGAGCAGTGATTGTAGTGATGTGCCAATTATAAAGTCTTTGCTTGATGGTGTGCGAGTAATTGAACTAGATTTATGGCCAAATTCAACTCGAGATGATGTTATTGTGGTTCATGGAAGGTACTTCTGAATCCTCAGTTCAACCTTGCGAAGAGAACTTCCTCAAAATCACTTGAGTATTTTTCTTTGAAATCTTTTAGGACTCTCACCTCTCCTGTTGCACTCATTCAATGTTTGAAGTCAATAAAAGAGCATGCATTTGTTAAATCTCATTACCCACTGATTATAACTTTAGAAGCCCACCTCCCGACAGACCTTCAAGCTAAAGTTGCAGAGGTAGGCTTCAATTTCTATTGCCCTTTAGAAGATCCAATGAAAACTATGTGCCTTTGATTGTTTCTTGCGTCATTTAATTCTGTCTGTTCCCAGATGGTATCACAAATATTTGGAGAAGCCCTTTACTATCCTGAGACGGATGGTATAGCAGAATTCCCCTCACCAGAATCATTGAAAGATCGAATTCTTATATCAACCAAACCACCAAAAGAGTATCTTGAATCTGAATGTTCATCGCCAACAGGTCAAATGGATGAACCAGAAACTGATAGCAAGGTCAGCAAAAAGATGTTTATGTATAATCAATATAAATGTATTATTACAATTTAAAACTTAAGTTACTTTATAAAAATTAAATACTATTTACTTTAAAACTTATGTTGCCTTGGATTTTGGACTTTTCTGTGTTTTTCTTAAATTTTTTTTCTTCCTAGTTTGACCATTAGAAAACTTCAAAATCCTTGCAAGGGTAATTCTAGTCTGTGGATAACTTATGTTCAC